CTCTTCCGAGAAGCCCCTCCCCTTTGCTTCCTGGCGTCCAGGCCTCTGAGCCTTCGTTGCAGGACTGGGGTCCTCTCTGTCCTGCCCTCCCAAGGCCAAAGCCCGCGCAGGGCTGGGGAACCCCAGACACAGCTCCCCTTTCCCCCACCCTGCCTCTCCCAGCTGCCCAGGGGCCCCGCCTGGCGCCACAGGGATCAGGGTTCCGGGCATGGGTGGAGGGCTCTGCCCAGGGCAGGGCGCAGGAACGTGGCGTGGGGATGGAGACGGGCAAAACCCAGGGGGAAGAGAGCTCCCGCCCACAGCGTGCCGGCAGGCTCTTGGAAGGGCTCCTGGGCACGCTGGGGAGGCCAGAGATAAGGACCAGGAGGCGGGAGGGAGGATGCGCGGTCTCGGCTCCTGCAGCTCAGCCCCGGGCCTGCTTCGCGCCGCGCCTTTGAGGAGAGAGGCCCGCGCCGTCCAGGCACCGGGCAGCCCCCCGGGTGGCAGACGCCAGGGGCCTGGGCTGCGGCCACAGGGCCCTCGGTGACCTTGGGCCCGTCCTTGCTGTCCCACGCAGAGCAGGGCACGAGACTGAGTCCGCGCACCTGTGTGTCCGCTGTGACTCCCCAGCGTGCGTCCAGAGGGGACATTTCCTGCAGGGGACAGAATGGCTCCCGGGGTCCCAGCCCAGCTCCCCAGCCTCAGTGCGGCCGGGCGCATGGGCAAGCAGACGCCCGGGGGACGGGGGAGGACGGGGCAGGTGGGCGCCTGGGCACCAGGAACAGGGGTGGAATCCACTGCCTGCCGGGTTTAGGATTAAAATTAAGTAGCTCTGAAGAGAGACCTAGAAAGAGCGCTTGCTGGCAAGCCTGACCCTTCTGTTTATAAACGGGGGTAATAATAGCCCCCCTCAAAACTGGAGATGTGCTTTGTAAACTGTCAAGTGTCAAGCGGACCAGAGGCGAGGTGCCGTCCCAGGGCCCTGGGGAGCCGGCGCAAGTGAGTGACCGGCTCACAGCGCTCCCCGAGGCAGGCAGGGCGGCAGACAGCCTGGGAGGCCATGTGGAGCAGCCCGCCCGGACACCCTCACCCCCTCTACACCTCACAGCCAAGGACCCAGACTGACAAATGGCTCAGACACACAAACACCGGGGCTGGGGGGAGCGCGGCACCTCAGAGCCAGCCCCACGGCTGCATGGGGGCCAGTGTTGGGTGCCCCACCCCCAGCCTCCATCATCTGTCTCAGTTGCCCAAATCGAACCGGGGTCCTGAGCCCCATCCCACGCTTGCCCACTCGCTGTATGCCAGACTGTAACACACAGCGTTGTCCAGGTGTGGAGGCGCACACCTATCATCCCGGCACTCTGGGAGGCTGAGGCAGGAGGATTGCAAGTTTGAGCTCAGCCTAGGCAACTTGGTGATTTAGTGAGACTCTGCCTCAAAACAAATATAAACACATAAAAAAGCCTGGGGATGTAGCTCAGTGCAAAGGCCCTGGGTCCAATCTCCAATACCAAAAATTTTAAAAAAGATACAATACATACCAGTTTTAGGACTCAAGAAAAAAAAGCAATGTAAAATATATTGCAGCAATTTTTATATTGATTACCTGCTGAAATAATAACAGTATTTTAGGTGCACTGCATTTAATATAACATACTATGAATTTTTTTCTGGCGTGTAGCTGCTAGAAAGTTTGAGATCAGGGGCAGGAGGAAGCACTGGCGTGCAAGTCTGCGGCTGGGTCTGACGAAGGAGGGAGGGCGTCGCGGGGCCCCTCACCCCACCTGGCTGCGGATGCTGTCCCCAGGGCTGCACCCCCACCAGCAGCCACTTCTGCCCCAGACCTCCGCTGGGTCCACAGGAAGGATTCGTGCCCCCCTGGAACCCCCTGCCGTCTCCTTCCAGGGGCTTTCGGGGGCTTCTCTTGCTCACACTCACACGGGACTGACTGCTGCAGCATTGTCTGTGGCCGTGGGGGAGCCCAGGGGGGTCCCAGCCCTGCAGCCTGGCTGTCCCTCTTGCTGGCCTGGGATTTGTGGAGCAGCGCATCCTGCATTGCACGGGCAAGGGGACCCTGTCTGTGTGGAGAGGGAAGCAAGCAGAAGCCACACCCCGTGGGGCTGGCTGGGGTCTGTCTACACCCGCAGTCTCTGTCTCCATCTCCTGGAAGGCGCATCTGTGCTGACCCAGCGCTCAGAGGGCGGGGAGACAAAGTGCGTTCACCCTCACCCCGGCAGGATGAGGGGAAGGACCCACACTCAGTCCACGGTCAGCAGGACCCTGAGCACCCGCAGAGAGGCCCAGGGCATTGCGTGAGGGCAGAGCAGACCTGCGGATGGACCCTGAGGCCAGCAAACCTCAGCCACAAAGTCCGGCACCCGGATGCCCAGAACCAGCCTAAGGGCCGGAAGGGAGACTGGTCAGGAGGAAGGACGGCCGCAGAGCAGGCTGGGCTGGGCTGGGTGCAGTCTGGGCAGCCCTACTCGAAGCCTGGAATTTATCTGAATGGTTACAGAGGCTTTCTTCTTTCTTTCTTTCTTCCTTTCTTTTTGCATACTGGGGATTGAACCCAAGGCCTTCACACTGAGCTACATCCCACCCTTCTTATATTCTTTAAATTTTGAGGCAGGCTCTCACTAAGTTGCTAAATGGCCCAAGCTGAGCTCACACTTGCGATCCTCCTGCCTCAGCCTCCCAGAGTGCTGGGAGGACAGCATCCCACAGCCCCGTCTTTCTGGGACACAGGATGTGGGATGCTGCCCCGCCCGCACTCTCCGGGAGCCGATAGGCACGCACCACCACACCGGCTCTTGTGGGCTCCCTGAAGGCCGGGTGAATGGACGCTGGCCCGTGTCTGCGCCCCCTGCTGTCATGCTGCGGGACACAGGCACTGGCCTGTCTTGCCAGGTGAGCAGCTCCGTGCCTTCGGCTCTAATTGGAGCCCCTTTGGAGATGCACGGAGGCCCTGCCGCATCTGCGCAAGTGGAGCTCTGGGAACTGGCACAGGCCGCTACAGGGAAGGGGGCACTGGACCCGGGGTCAGGGCCGAGCCCGGCCCGCAGCCTCGCGTCCGTCGGCAAGTGCGTCCCCATGCCTCTCCTGGTCCCTCGGCAGGCCCGCTCCCGCTGGCTCCAGCCGCTTCCCCGTCCTGGAATCAATAAAGACTCCAAGCAGACTGCGGTTTGCAAGTCTGAACGCCGGTTCCTGCCCACGTCACTGCCCCGAGAGGAGTGGGGCCCAGCTCCCCCAGCAGCCCCTCTTCCTCTCCACACGCGGCCTGGCCTCCCCGCCCTCCCAAGGCACTGCCCGGACGGAGCCTCCGAGGCCGCCCCAGGCAGCACCTACCCCACCAGCACCGCTGGCTCGGGGTGCTTCGGGCCCTCATAACCCCCACTGGCCACCCCGGCACCCCCAAATGGATACACTGCACTACAGCTGTGCAATGGAAGTGGGTTCCTCCAGCTTGTCCCTGGCTCCCAAAATTCTGGAGCTGGCATGACTAGAAACCCAAGGAAAAAGAGACATCGTCCAGGGTCCTGGGGGGACCAGGCAGCGCTAGGCCTGGAAACAAGCATTTGCAGAACTGGTGACGCCACTGGTAGCATCAGTACTAACGCCAGAGCACGGAGCATTCTCCCATTATTTTTAATGTGGGGATTGCATCCAGGACCTTCGCATTGAGCTACATCACCAGCCCTTGGTTATTTTATTTTGAGGTAGGATCTCCCTAAATCGATAAATTGTCCAGGCTGGGATTGAACTTGCCATCTTCCTGCCTCAGCCTCCCAGAGTGCTGGAGTGACAGAGGCGCATCACTATACTCAGCGAGCTCAGAGCGTTTTTGATCTGGCTGTCACGGTGCACAAACAGATGCCGCATTTTATTTATCTCTGCAGTCATCTTCCCAGCAAGGGCGTTTGTCAGCTTTTGGTGGAAGAGGAGAACCTGCCCCACTAGAAAGTGCTCAGGTCTAGGTCCAGCTATGTCCATGGCCTGCCTTTGCCCCTTCCCAAGCCTGGCCACCTGCTCCTGGCTGGATGAGGCATGTGTCACTACACTCAGCACACACGTACACACATGCACACACGTACACACATGCACACACACACGCACACACACACATCTCAAACCCCAGGGTCCACCATCCTGCCCTGGTTAAGCTCAGTTCTGCAGGATGCTGTCCCAGCTGTCTCAGCACTGCCGCCCCCTGCTGGCCGTTAGCGGAATGGCAGTCCTGGGCGCTCCCCGAGGAGCAAAGGGAACCAGCTGTCTGGGGCTCCTGAGTCTGATCCCGACCTTCACTGTGCTCAGCGATGGGACAGGTGGTGGCTGAGTGATAACAGAGAGGTTGGGCTGTCGCCTCCCTGTTCCCCACAGGGCACCTGAGTCCAGCCTGACCTCTGCCAGCCATGATCTGGGCTGGGATGGGTGTGGGGCTGTGACCTCGGGCTGTGCAGAAGGAGCCCTGGATTCCAGTGTCCCCTGCACGCAGCAGACACCCCAGGGGACGATGTGGACGTGGCCATGACTCCTGAGCCGTCCTCCAGCCTCCACTGAGGCGGCCCGCAGACCTGCCCGTCGCCCTGGCCCCCACTGCAGGGAGAGGGCCAAGCCCTGTCCCACACAGAAGGGAGCTCAGCAGTGTGTCAGTAATCTGTCCCCTAGATGCCCCACGGGGCGACACCACCCTGGTCCTGCCTCTGGGCTATTCCGTCTGCAGCCCCTCAACCTCTGCCGACCTCGGCCCTAGACCCCCAGACCCACCCAGCCCCCCACACCCAGCTTGGGGCAGGGCCTGTCTCCAGCCAGGCCTCAGGGTGTCGGGGTGTCTGGAGGGCCGGGGTGGGGGCCGAGGCGCGGGACAGCTGGCCTGTGTCCCCACGCCGGGCCCGGGGCCCAGCCGGAGGGGCGGGGGCCTGGCCACTCAGGCCTTGGCTGGGGCCAGGATTTTTGGCCGGGCTGCCGGGCCCTCCCTCCAGCTTCCTCTGCTGAGGGCTGTCCTGGCAGGGGCCCCCTCGCACTTTTCTGGCGGGAACACGGCCAGCATGGAGAGAACAGCCACAGAGGGAAAGCGGGAAGGAGATGGGGGAAAGTGTGTGTGTGTGTGTGTGTGTGTGTGCGCGCGCGTGTGTGTGCGCAGGAAAAAGGCCCGCAGTCCAGTCCGACCCAGCCTGGGAGGCTCTCGCTGGCCCTTTCGTAATTGCCCCCTCCCAGGCCCCCTCCCCCAGCTCCCCCTCCACCGCCCGCCCTCTCTCCCTCCCTCCTTCCTCGCAGCAACGACCAGGCAGCAATTACGCTTTGGGGATAAAACGAGGCGCAGAGCGCGGCCAGGGCATTCCTCCCCGAGATGGCGGGTCTGACGGCGGCGGCCCCGCGGCCCGGAGTGCTGCTCCCGCTCCTGCTCTGCCTCCTCCGCCCCGCGCAGCCCGGAGGTAAGGGCCCCTCGCCCGGTCCCCAGCCTCCCGCAGCCCTCGCGGCCCGCCGCCGGCCAGGTGGCTGGACTGACAGCCAGCCAGAGGGAGCCCTTCACGCCCCCGGCCTCCGGCCCAGCCCCTGGGGACCCGGGAGCCGCCTGTCCGGAGGGCCAGCCCCGTGCTGGAGGAACCTGTCACACAGACGTCCCGTGACTTGGGGTGGTCCCCACCCTGTATCCCAGAAGGCAGAGGGGACTCTGCTGTACCAGATCGTCCCCTCCCTGGCATTCCGTCACACCTGTGGCCCCAGCTGGGTGCCCACGCCACCCTGCAGGCAGGGGACCTGTGCGTGAGATCACTAGGCCGGCGGCGAGCTGTGTCCTCGGTGGGTGCCCTGTCCCCTGGGAAGTCAGGACGTCCCTCTGCGGAGGTCAAGGCTAAGCTGGTGATGGGCTCAGGGGTCAGAAAGTTGCTGCTGCGACCCATCCCCGCAGGGGTCTGGGAGGCCTGAGCGTGTGCCTGGAAGAGGTGTCGCATGCTGTTTTGAACAGACAGACGTGTGCCATGCCAAATGTGTCCTCGGGTGGGAAGCAGTTTCTAGGAGGGGAAGAAGGTCTGCACACGGTTCACCCCGAGACAGGTGTATGTGGGGGTGGGGACACACGTGAAGTTGCCTGTTCGCATCAGCACAAGTCTGCCACCAGCAGGCATGAACGTGTGGGAGACCCGGTGTCCAGGAGAGTCCCTGGCGTGGGCTGCCCCCGTGCGCGTGACCATGCGTGTGCGTGTGTGCATGCGGGTTTGTGTGCGAGCAGGTAGGCTATGGATGAGTACAGTCAAGGAAAAGCGGGCCAGGCGGCTCCTGGTGGACGCCGGAGGGGACCTCAGGCTGTGGCTCTGAGTTCTGACGGGGGTGGCTGGTCGTGCAGGGCTGCGCACAGGCCGGGTGGGGGCACGCAGCACACCGGCTGTGGAAGAGGGCAGGCTGGAGAGCCGTGGGGGGTGGCCCGGGTGGGGTCTGGTTGCCATGGGAGCCCTCCGAGCCCTGAGACCTGGCCTAGCGTGGGGGGTAGAGGGGCTGCGGGGCGGATCCTTATTGCTTCCATGCAACTCACCTTTGGAGCGGGCTGGGAGGGAGCAGGAGGGGCCGTGCTGGGTCCGCTCCTGGGCTTGGAAGAGGCTGAGGGACGTGGGCACCTACAGAGTAGGGGACAGTAGAGATGGCCGGGCGGCACCTCTGGACCGTCTGACCCTCCTCACCTGCCGTCCTTCCCGGAGCGCTGCCCCCTACAGTGCGGCAGCGAAGAAGGGGGGTGCCGGGGGTGACAAGCCGGGGGTGGATGAGCCAGCTGCAGCTGAGACTTGGGACAACACTTGGGGAGGGGCAGGCCTGGGACAGCACCCTTTAAGGGCAGAGCACCCCTAACCTGTGGCCTTGGGGACGTCATTCAGTCCTCAGCCGGCCCCAGCTCTGTCTCAGGGGGCCGGGCTCGCTGGGTTCAGATCCTCGGCAGGTGGAGCGGGGAGGTCTTGGGTTGTGCACCGGACACTGTCGCGGCCCCACACCTGTCTGTCCCAGGGGGACCCCAGCTTCCCTTCCCAAGAGTCAGCGTAGTGAGGGTAACAATGGTACCTCCTGGGAAGAGCACCCCGCCCCGGCCCCCTGTGCCCTTTAAAGGGGAGCTGGCGACATTAAGCCAGGTATCACACCTTGCCAGCCCCAGAAATATTCTCGGCCTTTTCCCCCCTGATTTCTGAGCTGAAAATGGTTTGGCCAAGAGCTGCCGGGAGGAACCTTGAACAATCGCAACGCAGGGGTCGCCCGCTGTGGTCTGGGGAGGCTCCTGGGCAGGCTTTTTAAGCCCCCAGGTGTTTGATGAACTGCCAAGTCCAAACAGCTCTGGTTCAGATGTCGATCCAGCCCGTGTGGCTGCTGGGACCTCGGCAGAGGGCAGATATGCCCCCCGCGTGGGAGGGGACAGTCACCCACCCGAGGACAGATTGTTTTTAGAAAAACTCTTGGCAGTCTGCCCCACGAAAACAACAAACAGCTTGGTGAGGTCTTATCCGCTCCCCGAGCCGGTCCTGGACTTTGGCTTGGCGAAGCTGCTGCCAGGCCCCGCTGGGCACTGCTCCCTCCTGAGATCCCAGACCGCGGCTTGAGGGGCAGACGGCCCAGGCTGTGAGCAGGGTCAGCGGCGGGTGCCAGACCCCACACTCACCCCGCTGGTTCTTGGTTCCCCCGGCCGCGGAATGGGAAGAAACAGCCCTGCCCGGTGCACTCACCTCCCGGGGCCGGCAGGAATCTGCAATCCCAAAGCATCTGCCAAAAATGCATCAAATATGAGAACCGTGGGAAGGTTAATTTGCAAAATGATATATTCTCTCATGCGGAATGTGCTAACTTGGGCTGTAATCCATTTCCAGGGTTAATTTCTAAGGTTTAATTCTTCCTCTTGGGAACAGCTGATATATAAATAAACATGCGGTGACCGAGAAAGCAGACAGAACCCGAGGAGGGGGTGGTCTCAGGAAACCCAGGAAGGCTTCCTGGGGGAAAGGATATTTCAGTTACACTTGAAAGAAAGGTAAACATTTGAGAGGCTGTCATTAAATAGGAGGAAAGCCTCAGGGTACAGCACTCTGGAAGGTAGAATCAGAAGGATGGAGGAGTGGATTCCACTTCCAGAGAGCAGAAAAACACAGGGAGATAATGAGTTCCCCATCATGGGAAGTATGCAAGCAGAAACATGAAGGACATTTGTAAAAGGAGATCCAGCCCAGGCCAGGAGACTGTTATGATCCCTGAGAGTCTAGGATCATGCTTCTTAGATGCAAGAGACAAGTTCCACCCTGGGCTAGTGGGTGGGACAAGCCAAACCCACATAAAACAAGACAAGCGCGTTCCAGGCCAGCTGCTCAGCGGGAGGGGGAAGAGCCCGGGGCTCGGAGAAGGCAGGCGGGAGACTGAGCTCAGCATGGAGGCTGGGCAGGGCTCGGAGAGAGGCGGGCAAGGCCGCTCCTGGCCAGGGCCAGAGGTGGGAAACCAGGTGCCCGCCGGGCACAGCGAGGAGGCTGCCGGCTTCTCAGTCCCTCTGTGGCCCTCCACTGTACGTCATCCTCACCTGTCCCGCCTTGAAGAGAGCCACACAGGGGCCCTCTGTGCCACCTGGGCTCCTCTGTATCCCCTGGGCAGCTGCGATCGAAGCTTAACCCGGGTCAGGCCAGACGCACCGGCGACCTCCCTGCCTCCCCTCCACCTCCCTCCGTCGCGGTTGAGCACCTACTGTATACCTGGCCCTGAGCCGTGCACGGTGCAAAGAAAGGGGAGACAGAGACGGCCGGGATCTTTTTTTCTTGAGTAATTGCTCTGTGCCAGCTATGCACAACTGATCCACAGAACCCCTGCAACTGTACAAGTCAGTGAGGATCAGCCATACACGGCCAGAACCAAAAATGAGCCTCAGAGAGGCTGAGCGAAGAGCTGAGGTCACACAGGTGGCGCGAAGCAGCAAAGCCAGGGTTAGAGGCCAGAGGCGTCTGTCCTGAGCCCCGTTCTTCCCATCCACCACACTGTTCCCTGCTCAGGAGCCAGAGCAAGGGAGAAAGGGCTGTGAGCAAGGAGGCACAGAGGCTGAGGCAGGAGGGTCATAAGTTCAAGCACAGCCCGGGCAACTTAGCAATTTGGTGAGACCCTGACTTCCAAAGGAAAAAAGAAATAGAACAAGCTGGGGATGTAGCTCATTGCAAAGGCCCTGTGTTCAATCGCCAGTACCCAAAAGAAAGAAGGAAAAAGGGAAAAGAAAGTGCTGGAAAGAGACAGAGAAAGATGCATGAGACAAGGCTGGAGCCAGAGCCAGGAGAGGCATCAAAGGCCGGGCGAGCCATGTGTGGGTTTGGCAGCCGATGACAGGGCCGGAGCACTCCTCTTCCCAGCAGGCCCAGCCCCTGGGGCCACCGCGCTGATCCCCAGGCCCTGGATGGCTCGCGCTGTGGGCCAGGCTGCCAGTCCTGGGGTCCCAGGCCCGGGGAGGGGTGACGCCCAGGGTTTGGTGTAGAGTGGGCATGACAGCCGGGCATCCTCAACCTCACTGGGCTGCAGTTGAGGCCCAGGGACCAGCAGGCCCAGCTGTGCTGTCTCCAGGCCTCGAGGCCAGACGTCTGGACACAGGGCAAAGCCGTGTGGCTCTGTCCCCACACCAACCCCTGTACCGCACAACTCCCCGGCCCCCTGTAGCAGGGCAAGGCAGGGCAGGGCCATCGGCAAGGTGACTCTTCAAGGTTGAGGGCATTCTGCGGTGCAGCCGGGGAGCAAGTCTGTTGCCATGACGACAGTGGGGCTTTGGTCCCGGGCCAGCATGGCAGATCCTCCGCAGTGTCTTGCTGGTTCATGGGGTCTGAGCTCCTGAGCTTGGCTGGGAAATTAATTAGCTGTTCTTTAGCAAACTGTTCACTTTACTCATTCATGGTGTCCCACTCCGGGCCCAGTGCCTCCCACAACAGCCCCATGTCAAATAGCCAGGTCCCCACCCAAGGGCGGCCGCCGGTGGCTGAGGACGCTGACCCCGCGCCATCCTATCAGTGTGGGAACGGCTGCAACGGCTCTGGCAGCAGCTGTGCTTCCTTACTGCGGCTGTCACAGCCCAGGCTGCCCTCCCCGGCAGAGACTTGCTGCCCACCCCAGCCCCTGCCCTCAGGAAGGGCCCGGCAGCCTGGTGCCTGCTGTCACTCCCAGAGGCGTGGCCTGAGTCACAGCCGCACTCCGCCTCTTTCCAACTGTGTGGCCCCAGAGGCCTCCCCTAACCCCTCTGAGCCTGACTTCACATCTGTGAAAACCATGATCGTAATCCCTGCCCTTCCAGCCCCTCAGGGCCAGTTGGAGAAGCACAAATGAGAAAATGCAAACAGAAATCACTTGGACGGCCAGAACTCTGGGAGGTTGAGGCAGGAGGATTGCAAGTTAGAGCCCAGCCTGGACAACTTAGTGACTTACGGAGAACCTGTCTCAAAATTTAAAAATAAATTTTAAAGGGCTGGCAATGCAATTCAGTACCAAAGCCCTGGGTTCAATCCCCAGTACCAGAAAAAAAAAAAGAAAGGAAGAAAGAAGAGGTGTGGGGGGGATCATTCAGTCCACAGAAATTGTCTCAGACAATCTGATTATCATTATCATTATGGTTACCAGGTTTTATAAGCCCTGACTAATGGTAGATTCTGCCCACTTCCTTCCAGGGGTCCCAGGGGCGGTTCCTGGTGCCATCCCCGGAGGTGTTCCTGGAGGAGTCTTTTATCCAGGTAACGTACACAAAACTTCCACCTGCCCGCGTCAGGCAGCTAGGACGGTGCCCTAAAGACATGGCACAGGTTGCCACTGCAGAGGACAGGAACACCCACAAGTCACGCCCACCTAGAATTGCAGCCCACGGGACCCTGTGTCACAGGCACAAGCACAGGATTCTGAAAATGAAACGGGAAGGCCGGGCATGGTGGCGCACACCTGTAATCCTAGCACTGGAGAGGCTGAGGCAGGAGGATCCTTGCGAGTTCGAGACCAGCCTGGGCTACAAAGTGAGCTCAAGGCCAGCCTGAACAGCACAAGGAGACCCTGTCTCAAAAAGACCAAAACGAAAAAGAAAAGAAAAACAACGGGATCCTCGAGCTGTCGGAGACAGGTGCCGTCTCTAGTTATTCCCCTTAGACGATCCACAGCCTCTCAGCCATTAATCCTGCTCCTGGCAATTTGCTGGGAGCAAATAATTGAAAAAGAGAAGGAAAAAAAGCAGCCGAGTTCATAGGAGTGTTATTTGCAAAAACTGTAAAACAAGAAACTTATCTGATGGGAGGGTGGAATTAAGTAAACTCAACACTGGCAGCTGTGCAGAATTATGAATTTTTTCTTTTTTGCAGCACTGGGGATTGAACTCAGAGCCTTCATCCTGAGCTGCATCCCCAGCCCTTTTTAAAAAAAGTTTTTTTTTTAATTGCTAAGTTGCCCAGGCTGAGCTTGAACTTGCAATCCTCCTGCCTTGGCCACCAGTGGAGTGTTTTTGAAGGAAAATGAATATAAAAAGGATGAATACAGGCAAGTGGAGGTTGGGGCCCCCTTGCGCCCCACCACCAAAAGAAAATAGGCAATGGCACTGGAGAGGGGGCATTTTTTTTTCTTTTAATTAAAAAAAAGCATAATGTTCTCAAGCAGATTTTTTTTTTTTTTTTTTTTTTTTGGAGACAAGGTCTCACTATGCAGTTCAGGCTGGCCTTGAGCTCACTTTGTAGCCCAGGCTGGTCTCAAACTCACAATGATCCTCCTGCCTCAGCCTCCCGAGTGCTGGGATTACAGTCTTGTGCCACCACGCTTGACTCAAATAGATTGAAAACCAAACGCACTAGCTTTAGTACTTAAAAGGGCTGCGAGTGTTCCGAGCTGAGGCGGAAGCCAGGAAGGGAGCACACAAACTCCCAGACACAAACTGTCACGGAGCTGTCGACCCAGGGGGACAGACTGGGAAACTGAGGCAAACAGAGTTTGACCCACCGAAGGGCAACAGCCAGGCAGGGATAGAGTGGACCATGGGTGGTGGTGGGCTGCCTGGCAGGGAATTGATGGTCTTGGTCTGCCGGTATGTCTGTCTGTCTTTCTGTCCGTTTCTCTCTCTTGCCTCTATCACAGGGACTGGGCTCGGAGGCCTGGGAGGAGGAGGTGAGCTCATAAACCACACATTTGATTTCACTGAAGGTCGGGGTATCCTCTCGTTCCCCTCAGGCCTGAGGTCCCCAGAAGTTACAGGTCCTTCTGTATCAACTCCAGCGTCGGGTGGGCAGAGCCCTGCCTGCCACCCCCCGCCCCTGCCCCACGGGCTTCTCCCTGGTGCCCCTGCTTTCAGATTCCTTTTGATCTCACCAACACCCTCTGCCAGGCTGGTGGAGCACGGACCATCTTCCCCCCTGCAAAAGCTGAACCATAAAGCTGGGCCCCGCTGGGCTCCCAGGGGCTGGGTGTCTGAGGACAAGGACTTCCCCATCCCCTTAGCTCCCCAGGTAGGGTGGGTAGAGAGTAAGACAGGGTCCTGGGGCTCCCCATTCCTCACCATCTCCTCCTTCTGCAGGGCTGGGACCTGGAGGCAAACCACCTAAGCCAGGTAAGAGCCAGCAGGGATGGCCAGGCCAGGTAGGGGCTGGCAGGGGCAGGGAGTAGGTCCTGCAGGCTGCAAGCCTAGGGCTAGGCCAGTAAGCCACGAGCAGCGACAGCCTCCGAGTGTTAGCAGGCGGGGGCCAGGCCCCAGGGCTTCAGAGACCTGAGGCTGGAGGCCGCTCAGGTTCTCCCCTTGTGAGGAACTTCTGGCCTCTGCTCCCAGCTCCCTGAAACTGCCCCCTGCACAGGACCTTAGCAACAGCCTGGCCCGGAGCCAAAAGTAGAGACTGAGGCCAGGCATGGTGGCGAATGCCTATAATCCCAGCACTCAGGAGGCTGAACCAGGAGGATTGTTGTGAGTTCAGGCTCAGCCTGGGCTATGTAGGAAAACCCTGTCTCAAAAAAAAAAAAAAAAACAAAAACAGACTGAGGTCCCAGTGGTCACCAAGCTATAAAAGATGGGCTCCTCGCCTTCATGCCAATTTGTCCCAGACTGAGCCCTGAACTTAACCCCAGGCTACACTCTGACACTAGCCCCGGATGAGCTCCCTTCCTGTTCCCTGGAGCATAGGGGTGGTGGAGTCATGGTCAGCTCAGGAAGCGGGGAGGAGGGGGGATCTTCGACAAAGAGCAGGTGGAGGAAACACAGCGTCTCCGACCAGATTTACAGCTTTTACAGCCCCCCTCGGACTGAAAGGCTCCATATGTGGTCCGGTGCACCCCCCTCCACACCCTGCCTCACACCCAGGGTCTGAAGCCCCAGGCTCTGGGACAGGGTGCTTGCTGGACGTCCAAGAGCTCTTACGAAATCCCCATGGTCCATGATCCAAGTGCAGATGGATCTGTGGGACCAGATTCCCAGATTCCAGCAAGCCTGGCTGTTGTGAAACCCCAGACAGGGAGCAGAGGGAGGCGGGGAGGCAAGGCATCCAAGCCAGGGGCTCCTGGACTCTGCAAGGCCAGGAGAGAGGGCGTCCCTGCTTCTGCCTTCCTGGAGGGATAGACTACTGCATGCAGTCTCCGGCTGGGTAGGTGCTAAAGTGAAGCATTTAGTAATGAAAGACTTAGGTTAGACTTCTGAAAGAACTTCCAGCTGGGGCAAAGGAGTAGACTCAAAGGAAAGGCAGACGATTTTTGGATGAAAGGGGACCGCAGAGAGGTCGGGACTGGTGTGTGCGACCTCACTAAGGTCATCTTTCAGACGCAGGACTTTAGCAGCGCCCCCATGCCCCTCTTCAAGGACGCTCCCCGCCTCCAGCAGGGAGGGGGCATCTGGGCCTGCCCGGGCAGGACAGGACGGGCACAGGCAGTGCATGTCACGCTTGGGAACGATTAATCCCTTGGTGCTACAGTGGGTGGCCTGACAGCTGCTGCTCCACATGGGCCCCACAGGCCGGCCGGCCCAGCCTGGGCTCTCAGCAGGGGGCCAGGCAGTTGGGCGCCGCCCTCCCGCACCCTAGCACCAGCTGGAGGCCAGCTGCCCCCGGGAGGGGCGTGGACACAGCGCCCCAAGCCGCAAACGCTGGGCCCTCTAAGCTCACCCCCTTACCTGGCCCGGGAAGGTAGGGAGCATAATGGTTGCTTATAGATGGGGAAGCTGAGGCTCTGGGAGGCAAATGAGTGGCCTCTACCCGGGGAGAAAGAGGAGCGCACGGGGTCCGAATGCAGAATTTCCTGTCTCCAGGAAGGAAGAGGGCTGGGCCGGCAGGGTCCCGGGGCCGCAGTCAGCTGGTCCCCTCTCTCCTTCCTTGCAGGCGCTGGGCTGCTGGGGACATTTGGGGTCGGTAAGTCCAAAAGAAAGAGGGCAGTAGGGTTGGAACAACTGGTGTCACCGTGGGGAAAGGGCGATGCCCGCCTCCCCCGCCCACCTCCCCTCCTCCGGTCCAGCTCATCCTCTCCTCCCAGCCCCTCTGTGGACAGGAGCGGTCTGAGCACGTCCCCTCCCCCAGCAGCTCAGGAAGCAGGCCAACCATAGAGCTGGGAAGACCAGGGCAGCCCCCAGCCTGGTCACCGCACCGTCCTACCTTGATAGTCACAGACCATCTGAGCAGAGCGTCTGCCTCAGTTTACCTCAGGCCCAGGTCACACACATGGGCAGTGAGTGGAGAGAGCTGACTGGAGGTGGGGAGCCAGAGAGACCTCGAGCGTGGGGTCCCCAGGGGGGCTCACCCCTGGGGCTCAGGACCCTGGCAGTGAGGACTGGCTCTCTGGGAGGGGCGCACCCTTAACTGGGAAGAAACACAGTGTGGCGCTGCTGTGAGGCAGTAAACTGCAACCTGGCCGCCCCTCAGCCCAGCCAGGAGTGTCCCGGGGAGGGAGCACGCAGCCCAGACGTGCGGGACAGAGCCAGAGGGCTCGGTCGGCTGTCTGTCTGCGTCTGGACAGATGGTAGGGGCAGAGGCTCCCCAGACCCACGTGAGGAACAGGGAGGGGGCTGAGCTGGGAGGGGCCAGGGGATAACTGGGGGGGCGAGGCCAACCCTGGAAAGGGGTCTTACTTGTACCCCTCCCCGCTGAATGCCAAAAGCTGGCACACTCCAGGAGATGCCAGGCCGGCCCAGCTTACTGGGGAGCCCGGCACCATCCTGTCTACGGGGCCCAGAGCCCAGCTAGGATCGTGCACACCAGCCCCTCATCACCTGCTCTTTCTTTGCTGCAGGTCCTGGCGGGCTCACTGGTGGTGGTGTCACAGCTGGGGCAGGTGAGTGTGACATCTGGGTCGGATGCCTCTTTGCACCCCGCTGAGCTCAGCCTGTAGGCAGGGCAGCCCTGGACACATAGCACAGGAGGCCACGTAGTTATAACCTAGTGACTCAGCTGTAAGAGGCACCTCTGGGGGCCAGGGCATCCATTGCGGGGGGGATCCCGGGACACACATGGGGGGAGACAGGCGGGCATGTGACCCCAAAGGCCAGGAACACTGCCTGCACCACCCAACCTGCTTGCTCAGTACCACTTCTGCTGGGCACCGACCCAGCCCTCTGTGGAAAAGACCCCAACGCATCCCAAGCGGGCATCGGCTGGCAGGCAGGGGCTCAGCGGGCTCCCTGAGTGCGGCGGCTCAGGGCCTCTCTCTGTACCCTCCGCAGGAATCGGGGCCTTTCCCGCAGGTACCTTCCCAGGGGCACTGGTGCCTGGTGGAGCGGCCGGGGCTGCTGCTGCTTATAAGGCTGCCAAGGCTGGTAAGTGGTGTCTAGGGACAGGCCACAGTCCCCCAGCCCCTGCTTCCTTCCCTGGGCCGCAGGGGCAGAGTCCTCCCCTACAGTCTAGGGAGCCAGCTAAGTGCGCCCCAACCCAAGTGGGTGGGTGGCAGGGCCAAAAGTCTGGGGCCTCCCCGTGCAGCCCGTCCTTCCTCATCCGCCCCGCTGTCCCTGCGTGGCGCTGCGCCCCTCTCTCACCGCTCCTGGCTCTCCAGGGGCCGGGCTTGGCGGCGTCGGCGGGCTTGGCGTTGGCGGCATCGGAGGGCTTGGTGGCATTGGTGGAGTTGGCGGCTTGGGAGTGTCTACAGGTATGGCAGCCACACCTGAGGCCCCTAGGTGATGCCCCAGAGCAGGCGGCGCGGTCTCTGACTCCCTCCTGTGCCTGCCAGGTGCTGTGGTGCCTCAGCCCGGAGCAGGAGTCGGAGTTGGAGCTGGAGTGAAGCCAGGCAAAGTGCCAGGTCAGCGTGGAGTCTCTGGGGCTGGGGGTCAGAGGTCAGGGAGGGATGAGGTTGCCCGTGGGCCTGAAGGAAGGGCAGGACGGGCAGCACCCAAGCCCAGAACATGAGACCTTTTCCGTGAGACGGAACTGGAGCAGAAAACACCCTGAGACAAGCTCTGCAGCAGGCAGAGGGGGGGGGTGACAGGTGAGGAAGCCGAGGCGCAGGGTGGACGGCAGAGCGGAAGGGCCCGCAGCTGCTGGGGGCCGAGCTGGGGTGGGCCTGACATCCTGACACCCATCTGGTGCTCATTGGGCTGCACCCAGCCCTGTAGGAAGTGACTTCAGGTTAAACAAAAGGCTGCCTGAGTCCATACAGCGGGAGGGGACATCTGGAAGCCGTTAGCAGAGGTGGGCTGGCCCGGCTGGCCGTGTAAACAGGCTCCCGGAGACAGAGATAAATCCACGCACAGAGGGTTTGCAGATGACTTCCGAGACTTGTGGGAGGAGGGCCACGGTCACCACATCTGTCCCCGGTGGCCCTGTGGGCACGAGGGCTGCTGGCCTGGGCCCCCTGCTGGGGAGGCCAGGAGGGGTCCCAGGCTCAGCAGCTGACCACGGCCCCTCCCTCCTCCTCTCACTCTCGCAGGCGTGGGGCTCCCAGGCGTGTACCCGGGCGGAGTGCTCCCCGGCGCAGGTAAGCCGGAAAGGGGGAGAGAGCAGCCCCTGCCCCCTGCTCACTCCCCACTTCGAGCAGAGGCCTCCCAGAGACCTTGGGTCCTGGCCAGGGGCTGTTTCCCTAAGGGTCAGAGTTCAAGCGCATGGGCATAAGGTCCCTGGCATCAAAAGCCAGCTTCTGCCAGGCATGGCGGTGCATGTCTATAACCCCAGGAGTCTGGGAGGCTAAGACAGGAGGATCGAAAGTTCAAGCCAAACCTAGGCACCTCAGTGACTTAGTGAGACCCTGTCTCAAGATAAAAGAGGGCAGCGGATGGAGCTCAGTGCAGATGAGTTCAATTCCCAGCACCACACAGACGCGCATGCGTGCACACACACACACACACACACACACACACACACACTCGTCCAACTTCCCCTGGTTCCAGGCCCAAACCCTCGTTACAGCCTAAGGCGGGTCCCCCAGGGCAGACGGAGTCCCCAGCGCAGCCAGCTGTTTCCCAGAAGCCCTGAGTCACCAGGGAGCCTGCCCAGCGAGTCCACCCTGCCCGAGACCCCTCAGAGCTGCCCTTCACCCGCCTCTCCCTGCCACCCCACCCAGCACGTGACCTCCTGAAATCCCCCAAAAGCCCAGATTTGGTGGCTCTGTGGGATTTGCTGACATAATACCCTCCTCTCCTGTTCCTGGTCGAGGCCCAGGGGACTCGGGAGAGACGGGAGACCCTGGCGGAGGATTCGGGCCGCAGGGTAGTGATGGCTCCATGGGTTGGATGCGGCGCCCTCAGCTCTGGCTTTGGCTGCCAGCACCTCTCTCCTGAGGGCCAGCAGGGGGTTTTGTGAGTCCCACTGGGACACCGGCAGGGAAGTACGACTAGAACAGGTCTTCTGAGGCGGACGTGGTAGGGCACGCCCACAATCCCAGCGCTCGGGAGACTGAGGCAGGAAAATCACCAAGAGTTTGAGGCCAGCCTGTGCTACACAGGGAGGCCCTGTCTCAAAAACCAGAACAACAGAAAAAAATATATCTGACCTTGGGCCAGGCAGCAGGGGCCAGTCCTCCACTAAATAAGTCCTTCTGCTACCCACCCACGACGTGTCCCTGTCACCGGCAGTCAGCACGGGTGGGGGCCCGAGGAGGTGCCAAGTGGGACCTTCATGCCCGCTCTGCCCTGCCCCCTTTCCATTCAGGAGCTCGCTTCCCTGGAGTGGGGGTGCTCCCAGGGGTCCCCACTGGAACCGGAGTCAAGGCCAAGGCCCCAGGTATGCATCCGCTGAGCAGGGGGAGCTGCGCCCCCGCTTCCTTCCGCTCCCCAGCCTGGGGTGTGGGGTGCGAGTGGGGACTCTGGGTGGGCGCTTACGGCGCGGCCCTGACACTGCTGGCCAGGACGGGCAGCGCGCTGCGCGGAAACCCCACAGCAGGTGCGAGGTCGCAGGAGCCCCTGTCTGGGCAGAGCCGCTCGCCCCTCCGGCCGGCTGCTGGTGTCACTGTGCCCTGCAGCCACAGGGCCGGAATGACCGCTCTTTGTCTTTGCAGGCGGCGGAGCTTTTGCCGGAATCCCAGGTGAGGAAAGACTGTTCCTCTCAGCGGGGTGGGAGGACTGACAGGTGGCCGGCCAGGCAGGGGCACCTGCCCTAGGCAGGGCTGGGCACCCAGAAGACCACCCAAACCGCCCGAGCCCCAGGCCTCCTGCTCCGGGCTTTGAACTGGCTTCAGCACAGAGGGGCGGGAACCACAGGTCTGCCATCCACCCCAGGCCCGTCTGAGTAGCAACCAGACCTTCCCAGGGAACTCGGCCCTGTGCCAGGGGCTGCAGGACTGCAGGCCGGAACTCCAGGGGAAGAATCTTGCGGCTCCCTGGAGGAAGCGGCCTGTCACTGGGCAGTGGCGGGAGGACCTCAGGGAACAGGCGGAGCTTGTTCATCTGAGCAGGAACCCAGTGGCTGGCAGGGGCTTGGAAGCGGCTGCTGGCCCAGGGAGCCAAGCTTTCACTTGTTCTTTTTTTCCCACAGGGGTTGGGCCCTTTGGGGGCCAGCAGCCTGGGGTGCCCCTGGGGTACCCTATCAAAGCACCCAAGCTGCCAGGTGAGTTGGAGGAAAGTCAGCTGTGGGCGACTTGGGCCACAGATCTGGTCACCTGGCTGGAAAGTGTGGGGACACTTTCTGCAGGTGTTCAACCACGCACCTGAGCACCCGAACACATACACACACAGGCCCAGGTCCTGGAGGGAGGCCCCTAGTAGCAACGGTCAGAAGGACCCTACACAGCAAGGGCGGCGATGCACACCTAAAGTCCCAGCCTTCTGGGAGGATGAGGCAGGAAGAGCGAAAGTGCAAGCCCAACCTAAAACCTTAGACTTAGCAAGACTCTGTCTCAAAATAAAAAATTTTAAAAGGGTAGGGATGTAGCTCAATGTAAAGGCCCTGGATTCAATCCCCAGTACCACAAAAGGAAGGAAGAAAGGAAGGAAGGAAGGAAGGAAGGAAGGAAGGAAGGAAGGAAGGGAGGAAATTCATGCATTGGGAAGACCGTCCTGATGTCAAGCCACCCACACCCCCATAATCAGCTAAGACAACGACACCCCTCCCTGCGGGGCAGGGCATGAGGAAGACAAACCCTAGGGCCTGGTGGGCTGGGATTTGCAGGGGACAGTAGCCCCGTCCCTGGAGCTGGGGTCCTCTCATCCTTCACCCAGGGACCTGCTCTCTTGGGAACTCCTGGGCCTTTGGTGGGAGGGGACCCTGTGGGGAGCTCTGTCCCTCTGGGGTGGGGAGCCCAGCAAGGCCCAGGGCAGCCGAGAGCCCCACCTGCCCTCTGCCTAGGTGGCTACGGACTGCCCTACACCAACGGCAAGCTGCCCTATGGTGAGTATGGTGCTCCCAGACCTGGGGCTTCCAGCTCTTTCCAGCTCCTGGGCCTGGCAAGGGCACCGTGGCCCTGCCCGGGCTGGGGGGCCGTGGGTGTTAGAATGGGGGTCCCAAAGGACACAACATGAAATTCAGACTCAAACGACCTGGTTCTCAGTCCTGGTTGTCATTTATCATGAGGCCTCAAGCAAGCCATTTCCCCTCTCCAAGCCTTAGCATTCCGGTCTGTAAAATGGGAGTAATGATCCCACAGGCAGGTTTGTTTGTGTTCTCTCTGACTGGGGTGATGGGAGGCCAGGGGTAGGGGCTCAGGGCAGCTGGGCCCCCCACAGGGCATGGCAGGGGAGGTGGCTCGCTGACCTTTGAGTCTCTGTCCTGCAGGAGTGGCTGGTGCAGCGGGCAAAGCCGGCTACCCGACAGGGACAGGTAAGGAAGTCATCACCCACTTCCAGCCGAAACAGTCTGGTCACACTATACCTGCCGAGCCCTGGGGCTGATCAGGGTCTCCCCCAAAATAGGCCCTGGGGCCAGGAGGCAGATCCCAGATGGGGGCCTCTGCTGTAAAACCCCTACTGTGCCCCGGTGTCTATGGCTGGGTTGTCCTGAGGCTCGAAGCCACAGCACCTCCTTCAGCCCCCTCTCCCTCCCCAGGGGTTGGCCAGGCAGCAGCCGCGGCGGCGAAAGCAGCTAAGTTTGGTAAGACCCTTGGGGCACCTTGCTAGCCCGGCCCCCACCTGGCCATCGGCCCCGACACCCCCATTTACCCAACGTCTCCAACATTGTCCACTTATGTATCTCTTCCTTCCCCCAACCCTCCTCCTTCCCCATCCCTCTCTCCTCCATCCCTCCACCCCTCCATCACCCTTCCCTCCCCTCCTCCCCTCCCTCCTCCATCCCTCCCTCCTCTCTCCCACCTTTCCCCTCCCTCCCTCCCCATCCATCCATCCACGCCTCCTTCCCCTATTCCCCGGTCCCTCCTGTCCCCCTTGTCCCAGGGATAGCAGATAGGCAACAGCTTTGCAAGATAATGCACGCACTGTCGTGGGGGCCAGGAAGAGAGAGGCCTTACTTCTACCTGGGGAGAATTAGGGAGGCTTCCTAGGGAAAGTAACGGGTGATGATAGCCTTAAAATGTAGGTGGCATTTGTCATGTCGCTAAAACAGGAAGGAGGAGCCCAAGCCGAAAGGAGGGGCACTGTGGTGGTTAGGAAGATAGTTTTAGGTGGTACCTATATAGGTATTTACATTTTAACAGTTACACATCAGCTTAACATGTACTATAAAAGTGTAACTTGGTCCACAAGCCCATGGGTCTTGAGCAGCGTTGCTGCCGATGTGGCATGACCATCCCTTGCCCAAGCGGCGGGCAGAACCCCGGGACATCCTCCAGCTCGGGGCCAGAGCACAGGAAACTGCAGTCCTCTCCTGGCCCTCAGCCCCCAGGGCCTTCCCGTTTCCAGGGTGGGCTGGGAGGCCCAGCCCAGGGGATGGGAGTGAGGGGGACCCCAGCCTCCCCCACACCGCTCCCCACCCCAGGCCCCTAGACCGGCCGGGCTGGTGGCGAAGGATGGAATGTGGGAGCGGGCGGGCGGCCGCGAGGGGCTGCCAGAGCCTGGCGCTCGGCTCAGAAACTTGGCCGCGTCTTTGGAACACAGGGAGAGGAAGCCTTGAACATTCCTTTGGGGGCCCCTCTGGCCCAGGGAGCGGCCACTTGTGGTTTCTCAGTATGTGGCAGTCATTAGAGTTGGATCTGACCGAAAGCATCCAGCTCCCTTAATGAGCCTGCTGAAACGGACACTTGGGTGGGGCTTTCCCTAGCGGGGCTGATTCAGGTTCACAGGCCTGCCCAGCTTCCCAGCGGCCTTCCCGCCTGGCCTCAGGAGGCGGCCTGGGGAGTCACGTCACGCTGCCCCTGTCCCTGCAGGTGCTGGAGGAGCAGGAGTCATCCCTGGCATTGGAGGGGGCGGCATCCCTGGCGCGGCCGGCGCCATCCCCGGGATTGGGGGCATCGCAGGTAGCGTTGGGCCCAGCAGAGGGGCGCTTCTTTGGGAGGACCACCAGGAAAGGGTCTCACTGCCTGTGGCTGTCTTTTCAGGGGTTGGGACTCCTGCAGCAGCTGCCGCTGCGAAGGCTGCCGCGAAGGCCGCCAAGTACGGTGAGCATCCCCAGTGTGGCGGGCCAGGAGCTCAGGGCCTGCTGCAGCCCCTGTGTGGGTCCTGGAGACCCCAGCCGAGAGGCTGGGAGACTTTGCCTCCATCTATCTGGGCCGCCTCCTTCCCTCCCCTACACACACCTCCCTGCCTTTGCCCATCCTCTGCCCGAGATGCCCCCTCCTGGTTCTACAGGATGACTCCGGAGGGGACCCTGAGTATACGCTCCGCCCACCCTGTCTGCTGCCCCCCGGGCTACTCATGAATCCCCTGCCCCGATGCTCACTAGCAGGGATTCTGGTTTTGCTTTAAAAGTTGGTCATGTTGCTGGACGTGATGGCACATGCCTGTAATCCCAGCACTTGGGAGGCTGAGGCAGGAGGATCGTTGTGAATTTGAGACCAGCCTGGGCTACAAAGTGAGTTTGAGGCCAGCCTGAACTGCATAGCAGGGCCCTGTCTCAAAAAAAAAAAAAAAACAGCAACAACAAAAAAGTTGGTCATGCTCCACCCAGTCACAGACCCAACCCTAAGAACCCCCAGGGTCTCTCCTAGTCCCTCCCAGCTCACTGATGAGCTGGCTCCATGCACCTGCGTGTGAGCCTGTCACCCCATAGCTCCCCTGGACTGCTGCCCAGGATGCCTGAACAGGTTCCCACTGGGCTTGGCAAAACAATCCTTTTCCTTCCTCAGGAGCTGGTGCAGGCCTAGTGCCTGGTGGGCCAGGAGTTAGGGTCCCAGGTGTTGGGATCCCAGGTGTCAGCCGCCCCGGTGTTGGTATCCCAGGTGTTGGGATTCCAGGTGTTGGGATCCCAGGTGTCGGGATTCCAGGTGTTGGGGTCCCAGGCATTGCAGATGGAGCAGGTGAGTTAGTGTGTGTGTGTGTGTGTGTGTGTGTGTGTGTGTGTGTGTGTGTGTGTGTGTGAGTGAGATAGAGCAATACAGAAACCAGTGCCAAGACTTTTGCGTGTTCCCCAAGACTGCTCCTTTGCTCACATCCTTGGCCATGATTCCTTCCCTCATTCTCCTCCCATGGGTTATAGCAATCTCTCCCAATTCTCTGCCCCCAGCAACATTGTCCCCAGTTTACTTTCCGAGTGTCACTGTACTTCCGGGCGCAGGGGCTGTGTCTTTTACCTCCATGTTCCCCACCCTTGGCTGAGCAGGTGCTCAGTATTAAATGGTGACAGATGGGTGGGCAGATGGGAGAATGGAAGGGCAGGTGGGCACCCAGTGACCAGGTAAGTGGCCATGTGGATGAGTAGGCAACATGACAGTGAGGGAATAGATGGGTAGATGGAAGGACAGAGACCAGAATGGGTGGTCCATAGATAGATGGATGGATAGATAGATGATTGTTGATTGATAGATATGTAGATAGACAGAGAGGTATAGATAGTTGGAAAAATGAATGGTTAAGAGAAAAACAGATGGCCAAGTAGGCAGGGGCTAGACTACTGGTTAGGAGGATGGATGGATGGATGGATGCATAGATGGATGCATAGATGGATGCATGGATGGATTCATAGATGGATACATAGATGGATTCATGGATGAATACATCGATGGATGCATAGATGGATGCATGGATGGATGCATGGATGGATGCGTGGATGGATGCATTGATGGATGCATGGATGGATGTGTGGATGGATACATGGATGGATGCATGGATGGATGCATGGATGGATGCATTGATGGATGCATGGATGGATGCATGGATGGATGCGTGGATGGATGCGTGGATGGATGCGTGGATGGATACATAGATGGATGCGTGGATGGATGCGTGGATGGATGCGTGGATGGATGCATGGATGGATGCGTGGATGGATGCATGGATGGATGCATGGATGGATGCATGGATGGATGCATGGATGGATACATAGATGGATGCATGGATGGATACATCAATGGATGCATAGATGGATGCATGGATGGATACAGGGATGGATGCGTGGATGGATACATGGATGGATGCATGGATGGATGC